AATCAAGCATCACAACTCTTCTCCATACATACCTAAGATGAATGGCGCAGTGGAAGCTACAAATAAGAACATAAAGAAGATTGTACAAAATATGGCGGTAACCTACAAAGATTGGAAAGAGATGCTACTATTTTCTCTCCATGGCTACCGTACCTCGGCACGAATATCAACTGGGAAAACCCCATTCTCCTTAGTCTATGGCATGAAAGTTGTCCTGCCTGTCGAAGTTCAGATTCCTTCTTTAAGGATCATGAAAGAAGCAGACTTAGGAGAAGACGAATGGATTCAAACTGGATTGGATCAGTTGAACTTGATTGATAAGAAGAGACTGGCTTCTTTTTATCATGGTTAAATGTATCAAAAGCATATGATCAAGGCTTTCAATAAGAAGATTAAGCCTCAAGTGTATCAAACTGACGACTTGGTAATAAAGTGCATCATTCTTCCACAAGGTGATCCCAGGGGAAAATGGACTCCTACTTACGAAGGGACATTTGTTGTCAAAAAAGTATTCTCTGGTGGTGCCATGATGCTAACTACTATGGACGGTGAAGATTTCTCGCATCCTGTGAACGTGGACATAGTCAAAAAATACTACGCATAAAGAATGACCCGCTAGGTTGACATGCCTAGGCAAGAATAAGGGCATCCCGACGAACCAAAGAGGTTTGAGCAAAAATTAGGGATATATACACAAAGTTGTACACCCGGCAAGTCGAAAACTTGAAAGGGAGGCTTGGGCAAAAAAGGGTATCCTGGCGGACTGGAAACCCGAAAGGGTGGTCCAAGGAAAAGTTAGGGATTAAAGCGTACGATTATGTCCCGTTGGATCGCTATAGCCAACTTTATTACCAAGATCAAAAGTTCAAAAGGTACAAGATCAGTTCAATCAACCTCTTTCAACGACAAGGGAAGATATTCGAAGACATGGGGGCAATAACGGAGTTGGAACCCGATGAGATCACTTCCACATGGCTATACAATTTTTGTTTTCACTTTATATTCCTTTCATTTTTCTCGACAATTTCCTCTTACTAGGATTTTTGTCTCCCTGTACAAAAAAAATGCATGTTTTTAGGCAAATTATCAATACAAATATACTTTGAAGTGAAAACTTTTGTTTTTTCTGCTTTGAGTGCGAAAACGTCCAATGACTAAAATTGAATGAACATAAGCATATGAACATGATTAAATAAATGTGCACACAATAACAGTAATAAACATTTACTTAAGGATTTGGGATAACCCCACAGAGTCACTTTAATGAGATTATCCCTACAAAGTGAATTCATACATTCTCCATCCAAAGTTCCAATCAGCATATCCTTTGGAAATTTTCCCCAACCAAGTTTGGCCTTCCAAAACTGAAAAAGAAACCTTGCGGAGTTCTTCCCCAAAAGAATTCATTTCCCCAGTAAGGTCGCCAAAATACTTTCCTCAACAGGATTTATTTCCCCAACAAACTACAGATTCCCCATCTTGAATCTATTTTTTCAGACTACCACATAATTCCTCTTCCCTAGTAGAGTTGATACTTTTCCCAAAAAGTTGCTGCAAAACCTGGAAACTGACCAGATAACAGTTAACTTTACTCTCCTCAAACAAATTAGAAGTTTTAATCATCTCTTTTATTCTCGGTCAGGGTATATAAGAAATGAATTCCCCGGTAGAGCAATGGAAAACCTAGTTTCCTGAACCCTGCTCCTCAAATAGAAATCAACATTCCCAGCGGAAGCATCTAGCCAAGTTTGAAGATACACATACTCTTCATCTCCAACAGTCGTCTGAGATTTTGCTTCCCAAAACTCCTCAGCATTTGTCAAGGATTTATTTTCTGGGACAAAGATACACTTCAATAATATTTCACATTCATACATATTATTACATACATGACAAATGCATACAACATAATCTCATTTATTTTAAGAAAATCATCACGCCATGCATACGTCTGCATGCAACTAACCCTCTTCCTTGCAGGAAAAGTCAACCAACAAAACAAAAAGACCTCTTTTGGTTGGATTCATTCCTTCCAGTTAAAGACAGGCAGACGAAGACCTCTTCTAGATAGATTTACTTCTTCCAGTTCATGATAGGCAATCGACATACCTCTTATGGTAGATTCATTTCTTCCAGTTAAAGACATGCGAACAAAGACCTCATATGGTTTAGATTTATTTCTTCCAGTTAAAGATAGGCGAACACAAGACCTCTTCTGGTATATATTTACTTCTTTCAGTTACAGACAGGCGAATGAATACCTCTTCTGGTTTAGATTTACTTCTTCCAGTTAAAGACAAGCAAACACAAGACCTCTTTTGGTTTAGATTTACTTCTTCCAGCTAAAGACAGGCAAACACAAGACCTCTTCTGGTTTAGATTTAATTCTTCCAGTTAAAGATAGACGAACAACAGACCTCTTTTGGTTTAGATTTATTTCTTCCAGTTAAAAACAGGCGAAGGACGTCTGTTGTTCAAGTATAAATTGACCAAAGATTTATTCTGGGACTTCTTCCAAATTTCTACCAACAGTCACTTCTGGATGGCATCTATAATCCCATCTCCGACAATATTACATCACTCTCCAAATGGCATCTATAAGCCCATTCCCGATACAATAAATTCAAAGTGTTACTTCATGCACAAGCAAGTTAAAATTTTTGGGCACTCTAATGTTCAATCATCTTCTACCTTCAAGTTACGAATGACAGACATGTCAATCTAACTCTTCAGGTTTAAAAAGATTGAACAAGGGAAGTTGTTATACCCTGAAATTTCCCCTCCCATTTTTCATTCAAGATGTTCTCCTAGGGTTTCTCAAATACTCAAAATCGCTCTGGATTTGATCAGATAGATTCTCCTCCTAAGCATTGAGTCCACGTCTAGGGTTTGGTACTTCTCAAGAAAAATTGAGTTCTCAAGGTTTCAAGTGGTCTTCATGGTTCTTCATGTATTCTCAAGGATGCTCGTGTCAAGTTTCAAGCCTTGCATCACAAGTTTGCTCAGTCAATGGTTCAGATGACTGAAAATCAACTACATTGACCCAAAAGTCGACCTTTTCAAGATCAAGTTCAAACAATTGTAAATTCTTCATTATTAGATATTTTTGAGTGGTTCTTTTTTCATATGATTCTCCTTGACGTCATCTCTAATTTCTCTTTACAAGTCAAGAGTTGATTATGTGCGAAAGATCATTAAAAATTTGAATACTTTAGAGGTCACTTTCTGGATTTTGGCCTAATCTCAATTAATCGTTGCCTGACTTCCAAGAATCATAATTTACTCAATTTTCAAGATCTTGAGGCAATTATTTTTTAACATTGTGATAAGTAGTGCAATCAACAAGTTCTCTTCAAGAATCAAAGGAAAATTGTGTTTAGAAGACCTTGAAAGTTATCAAATTGTCATAGGTCGTTTTCTTGATTTAGAATGTTTTTAACTTCTAATTTCAACTCATGCCATAATTGTTTTCTCAAGACTATGATTCTCATGGTGAGATTGTTCATGGTACAAGATGTTGAATTCGGAGATTCATGTTGAGTACGAACAAGATGTTGCTCATAATACAAGTCATCATGTTGGAAGTTGATTTAGGATCTTTGTGAAAGTGATCTGAGGATTCATTTGAATAATGTTTTTTTTATTTCAATTCAAGTTAGCAAAACATTACACGATATCACAGGTTTCATCCAAATTTTCTATGGTTCGTTCGCGTGAATCATTTGGAATTCAAGGTATCAAGGACAAGTTCACAAAAAATTGCTCAAATTCATTCAAGCTTCCAATATCTTAGCCTCATTGGAATGCAAACATGACAAAGTTATGTTTTGATTCATGGTTTCTCTAAGTTACAATTCTCATGAACCAAATCAAATTGACAAACCTAATTCAAATTTCATAGTTATTCATATATTTTCAAGCATATCATTATTCAAATTCAAGACTTTTCAACATGAGATACATTTATTCAAGCATTCAATTTCCATGAGATAAATCCATATTACTTCTTGAAAACTGCAACAACAAAAAAACAAAATGCAAGACTTTTTCTTAGTTGTATTACAATTTAAGTTTATTCAAAATTCATTCAAGCTTCAATAAGAGAATTACATAGGATTTCAAATCTAAACTTTGGATAAATTCATCATGTTACAAGATTTTTTGAGTTTCAAGTTCAATATACATTCAAAGTTACATAAAAAACCAATTTCTAAACCTATGTTAATCTAATCTTCAAGCTCCAAAACTTGTCCAAACCAACCCCACAAACTGTCAAACTTATCTACCACACTACTGCCCAAAACCGTGACTTTGTCCAAAGGCCTGCTATGTGATATCACTAATGCTGCCCTGCTATCCTGCTACAATAAACAGCCTGCACTAGCTGCTCAAGACATGCTGCAAAGTTGTCCAAAATTATGACCTGCAAAAATCTGCAATGTTGCTGCTGCAAAAAAACTGTACCATATCAGTTCAAATTACACAGATTTAACAAAGTAGAGACTGCACCAGAAAGTTACAAAAACAGTATGCCAAAATTGTTCAAACTTATCCCATTTTCCCCCTAAAACCTAATTTTGGTTCTACTATAAACTCAAACGAACAAGCAAAGTAAGGGGAGTGCCATCTACAGTAGACCACCAAACTAAAAAATTATCCTAATACATCCTCCAACTTCTGGTCTTATACAAAGAAAAACTATCTTGCAAAACTTCTGTTTTCCAAAATTCCATTCATACTCATAACCTCCATAACCTTATATCATCCTCTATCCAAATCTCTCCTTTACCATATACACAGAAAAAATTACAGAGATAAAAACAACAGAAAAAACTACAACATTAACACTAGATTTCGAGCAGAAAGAAGAAGTACTCAACATTATACCTTAACATCGACCGGAGAAAACCTCCCCTCTGTTGGTAATTCCTTTGATTTCACTATATGCATTGCACTGTCAATTGATTTTTTTTTTCTTTTCACTTTTGCCTTTGAACCCCATGGTTATTTGTTCCTATTTTCAATTTGAGTGTTGTTGCTGTTATTTTTTATTGTTAGAGTCGTATGAACCGAAAACCCCATGGCTTTTCGGTGCTTGTTCATCGATTGAGAAAGAGAATCAAGGTGTTATTGTTATTGTTCGAAAATTTGAGAGAATGAGGAATCGTTTGTTGTTGTTCAGTGAGAAAGATGATGGTGATGGATCGTGAGAGAAGAACAAAGGGAGAAGTGAGAGGTTTGTTTGAGAGAAACTAGAAAGAGAGAAGATGCGTGGACAGTAAGAAGAGAGAGATTATAATTTTTGTTTTAATTGTTGTTTAAGATTGGAATAAAGTTATTAATTAGGAACAATAAAAAAATAATAACAAAATTTTTCCTCTTCCCTACATACAGCTGGTTGCGGCGCCTCTTTACTCTCCCGTTAGGATTTTTCAAACTTCCCTATCCCTTTTAATACAAACCAGGTTTGGGCCTATTTTTTTGGCCCAACCCATTTCACAATTTATTTCTTTTGTATTAATGGAAATATTAGAATAAGCAAATGAATAGCTTTGTGCAATGGTAGAGGAAACGTTTGGTGAGTGGAAGGCCCCGGGTTCGAGACCCCCCGGAGATATTTTTCTTATTTTTTCTGTTTTCTTTATTTTTGTTGGACAAAAAGACAAATAAAAAAAAACTGACTTTTGGGCCTAGCAGGTTAGAGCCCAGCGCCCCAGTTTTCCATCCCCCTCATCTCTACTTCAAACCTCTATTTTACTTTGTTTTAATAATTTTTTCTTAATCTTTAGTTTAGACTTTAAAATTCAAGGAAATAAAAAATAGTTTCTAAATTAGTTAATTTTCTTAATTAGTTTAGTTTAGGACTTTGTGAATAATTTTATTAATTAACATTTTATTGTTTAGTTAACTTTATTTTAAATTATTTAGTTTCTACATGATAAAAATTCAACAAAAAAAAGGATAGATCTTTATTTTCTTTTCAAATTTTCTCACAAAATAAAATACCAAAAAACATATTAGAATTTAGTTTTATCCTTCTTTTAGATTTTTACTTAAATTAATAAAATACCAAATTATTATAGTATTAATTATTTTGCTAAATAATTTTTATTTTATAGATTGTTTTAGTCAAATTAATTGTTCTTTTTTTAATTCAATTGAGTTGTATTGCTTGTTTATTTAGACTTTTAATCGCATTGTTGATTCGATCTATCCCAATTTTTAAATTTGTATCCCCCATTCCCAAAAGCTCAGTAATAGCGTAGAATTTTAATTTCTGCAATTTACTGTTTTCCTTTATATTGTATAGTAATTAGGCATGCATGACAAGATTTAAAATCAATCGCTAGATAATCCTAATTAAGACAAATTAAACTTGAATCAAAACACGTTTTTCACATGCACACCTCTAGGGTAACCCCGCTTGTTGCCTCAAAAAGACAGTCATGTCCCTCGAATATGGGACGCTTTAGCAAAGACCCTCGATAAAGAAAGATCGTAGTCCCTCGATGATCCTTCGATGTTGCCTTTGATAAAACGATCTTAGTCCCTTATGAAAATTGCTAAAGTGTCTCACAAGTTGCTTTCTATGACTGTACGACGACCCACGTCCGTCCCTACATCCAATGATAGAACTTCTTACCAATCAATGGTAAGATGACACTATCTAAAAGAGGAGGAAAAGAACAAAGATTTCTCTTGAGTAGGTAGATCGTTCATATTTGCTTGCTCACAATATTTCAAAATAAAATAACTTTCAAACACACTAACACTTTTCAATGAAATATTTTCAAAGTCAAACACTTTCTATGCATTCTTATAGAGACGAGAATCATTACAAAGTTCTCCAAAACGAAGGCACTTTTCAAAAATACTTTCAAAACCACTCACAAACATAGTTCAAACAAAGCATTTCAAAGTAAGCTAGCAACTAAGAGCCCCGTAGATAAAAATGAAAAACAAATTATACACCGGCAAGTCGAAAACCTAAAAAGGCGGCTTGGGCAAAAAAAAGGTATCCCGGTGGACTGAAAACCCGAAAGGGCAGTCCAGGAAAAATTTAGGGATTTAAAATGTACGACTATGTCCTGTCACCTGTCTACCAGTGGAAGACTTATACCTTGATCAGCATTCAGTAAGAGCACCAGAATCGAGAAACAGTTCAAATACGCTCCAGATACGGATGCCATTCTGATACTCATTCAGATTCAGCTTTCCGATACAGTTCAGATATGCTCTAGATACGAATGCCATTCTGATACTCATTCAGATTCAGCTTTCCGATACAGTTTAAATACGCTCCAGATACGGATGCCATTCTGATACTCATTTAGATTCAGCTTTCCGATATAGTTCAGATACGCTCTAGATACGAATGCCATTCTGATACTCATTCAGATTCAGCTTTCCGATACAGTTCAGATACGCTCCAGATACGGATGCCATTCTGATACTCATTCAGATTCAGCTTTCAGATACAGTTTAGATACGCTCCAGATACGGATACCATTCTGACACTCATTCAGATTCAGCTTTCCAATACAGTTCAGATACGCTCTAGATATGGATGCCATTCTGATACTCATTTAGATTCAACTTTCAGATACAGTTCAGATACGATCCAGAGACGGATGTCATTCTGACACTCGTTCAACACATGTTTCAAGTATAGTTCAGATACGATCCAGAGACGGATGTCATTCTAACACTCATTCGACACATGTTTCAAGTACAGTTCAGATACGATCCAGAGACGGATGTCATTCTGACACTCATTCAACACATGTTTCAAGTACAGTTCATATACGATCTAGAGACGGATGTCATTCTGACACTCATTCAACACATGTTTCAAGTACAGTTCAGATACGATCCAGAGACGGATGTCATTCTGACACTCATTCGACACATGTTTCAAGTACAGTTTAGATACGATCCAGAGACGGATGTCATTTTGACACTCATTCAACACATGTTTCAAGTACAGTTCAGATATGCTCCAGATATGGATGCCATTTTGACACTCATTCAGATTCAGCTTTCCAATACAGTTCAGATATGCTCCAAATACATATGCCATTCTAATACTCATTCAGATTCAACTTCCAGATACATTTCAGATACGATCCAGAGACGGATGTCATTCTGACACTCATTCAACACATGTTTCAAGTACAGTTCAGATACGATCCAGAGACGGATGTTATTCTGACACTCATTCGACACATGTTTCAAGTACAATTCAGATACAATCCAGAGACGGATGTCATTCTGACAATCATTCAACACATGTTTCAAGTATAGTTCAGATACGATCCATAGACGGGTGTCATCCTGACCCTCATTAAATACATGTTCAAGTACAATCACGACATAGATCCATCCACGAAATCTCCGCATGTACTTTTTCCAGCACGGTACAAGGGGAAGAGACAGTTGGAAGCAAAGTCACTATCACATACAAGCCAGTGATACCTATATTCTCCACAGAGCCGAGACAACCAAGGTCTGACCTCTGTATCCCCAAGCAGGAATTCCTTCCCCAGCAGGTTCCTTCAGGAAGCTGATGTCTGTATTCCCCAATCGAGTTTTATAACCATGAGCAGTTTATAAAGCCATCTCCCAAGCAGAGTTTATTTCTCTGACGGCGGAAGCTCAATCTCCAACAGAGATCTTCTCTCCAGCAATGGAAGTTCATCCCCAGCTGAGTTTATTTCTCCAAATCAACAGATCTTCCAATAGAGTATCTCTCTTCCCCACGGAGTCATTCCCCCGCAGGATTATTCTCAGACAGAGTCTCTCCCGGCAGAATATTCTCAAGCAAAATGGATGTAAATCTCCAGCTAATCATATTCGGTCACTATCCCCAGCGGAAACGAAGAACTCAACTCATCATACTCTCTAGCAGCAGTCCAAGATTTATTTTCCCCAGCTAGAGAATATCACAATAGCATTACACATCCATAAATCATGGCATGTGCAAACATATTATACAACACAATCTCATTTATTTTGAGAACATCATTACTCAATACATTTCATACATCATGACATTACATACGACTAACTCTTTACCTTTCAGGGAAAGATGCAATCAAGTTCTCACAAGTTCTCTCTAGTTCAGTCAAACCGACACCAAGGTTTCTATTCCAGTTGAAGATATTCCAACACTTTTCAAGATTTTCTCTGGTTCAGTCAAAACGACACTAAGGTTTCTATTCTAGTTGAAGATGTTCTAAGACTTTCATCTGGGTCAGCCGAATCACCGCTAAGATTCCCCTGATTTCTATGCCAGTCAAAGTTAATCTGATACCTCTCTCAGGTTCAGTTAAATTGATACTAAGATTTCTCTCCCAGTTGAAGACAACTGGAGACCTTTACCTGGTTCAGTCAAATCGATACTAAGATTTCTATTCCAGTTAAAAAAGCTATGAAGCCCGGAAATTGACCGGATAATAGTCAACCAACAATACATCATACTGTGAAGCCTGGGACACGGCCGGATAACAGTATAAAATACTACGAAGCCTAGAATAGACCAGATAGTGGTATATCCCAAATTCAAGCTATGAAGCCTGTAAATCGACCAAATAATATCTTAATTTCTACAAAATACTATGAAGCCTGGAGTCGACCAAATAGTGGTATATCTCAAATTCAAGCTATGAAGCTCGGAAATCAACCGGATAATATCTTAATTTCTACAAAATACTATGAAGCCTGGAGTCGACCAGATAGTAGTATATCTCAAATTCAAGCTATAAAGCCCGGAAATCGACTGGATAATATCTTAATTTCTACAAAATACAACGAAGCCTAAAATCGACCAGATAGTGGTATATCTCAAATTCAAGCTATGAAGCCCAGAAATTAACTGGATAATATCTTAATTTCCCCAAATTACTAAAGCCTGGAGCACGACCAGATAATAGTATAAGACGCTGTGAAGTCTGGAGCACGACCAAATAGCGGCAAGAGACACTGTGAAACCTGGAGCACGACCAGATAACAGTATGAGGTACTGAGAAGCTTGGAATTTGACCAGATAGAAGTTTACTCAGCCAATTACTATGAATCCTAGAAACAACTGGATATTAGTATGCCTTAAATTAAAGTTGAAACCCGGATGCGACCGGATAACCACTTAATTTCTTCTGAAGCCTGGAACAAGACCAGATAAGAATTGAGAAATTGCAAATCCTGGAGCACG